TTGCATCTAGTTAGTAAACAAACATTACGAAATATGATACAGCATATTTTTTAATCAAATTATTACTTCATTTTGGAATTATAATATTTTCGTAAGAAATTAATACCACTGAAAAAAATATTATTACACTAAAGGAATAAACGAGATTCTCGACCGCGTTTGTTCAAGTTTTTGTAATTTTACTTCATAACACACTCGTACATAAACATATTAGACTGAATTATAAACCAGGTATAACTAATTAGATAATCCTAGAAAAAAGAATAAACTAAACCTAGTAAGCAAAAAATATATACATTACATTCAGAATTCTAATGTTTATATAAACGTTTCTCGCAAGGCCTGCCGGAAAAAAGATGTCAAACGTTCTTTGGTCAGACGATTGGAAAAGAACGCTAACATGATTAGTTTTTGTTTTCAACAACCACATTACCATTTCAATTAAATACCACAAACAGTGATTAAATTTTGGAATAATTAGTTTTTAAATAATAATACGGGCAATTTTAAGGCTAATTTATCGGATGCACATGACAAATACTACTATTAGATCTGCATTTGGAATAAATATTTTGCACTCTTTCAAACTCATTAGACATTACGAACACTGATATTAATTAATCGCAAAGCTTAAACGTTTAAATACTTACTCACTACATATAACAGTGCAAAGTGCATGAGAATAATCTGCATAAAATGAACAAAAAATATTTCAAGCAGTAATTGTAAACATTTTCTTACTTAATTGCGCTATACAACCAACATGCATTCAGCCATGTTTCTTTCTGCAACTAGCTTTCAAACACTTTTCTCCTGATTGGCTAATTTCCAGTCAGTCACGTGATTCTTCCACGCGGCTACTGAAACATTATCTGTAATGCTACAAGCAAATCAGCTGTTACCGCTACAGTTTCCTTTCAACCTGTTACCATTACAGGAAATTCTTCTGTAACTTTTTGATTTCTGTAACTTTACAAAACTTTTGCCTGTAAAGAGCGAACTTTTTTTTTACCGTGTATACAAGATTTCTCAAAAACTACCCCATGGGACTTATACTCTTTATATATATATATTTCTTACATTATTTTAACGAAAGTTTGATTAGAAACTGAGCGATTTAAAAGCTTTGTGTTGCCATTCTGCAAAGCGTGCAATGTTTATGATTCAAATTTAATCGGAAAATTCTGCGATGCCGCTCGAGAAAAATCGATATATTTATTTGTCTTTCGAATTAAATAAACAAACTTAGCTATTTAAGAGAAATGTATTGCCATTTCCAGAATAAAAATAATCTTCCGTTCCATGCAGCAGTGTGTTATCGTACGTAAAATATTTAAATTTTCTTTCAAATTTATTCTGTTATTAACTAACAAATTAAGTGATTGAAAAGTAATAGACGCAGAGTCATTTCAATTATTAGTAATTACTAACAGTTCCCCTGAAATGACACTAGTTAGATTCATCAGAATCATCTACCTATATATATAAAGAAGAGTGCCAGTTCGTTTGTTCCATACAGTTTACTACAGTGCTACAGTTTACTTCCGAACCTTATGAAATTTCACAAACTTGACCTTCAAAAAAAAAAAAAAAAAAAAAAAAAAAAAGTCATTGTTTACATAAGATTTTGAAAAAAACCCTACGGATTCCATTCTTTATATATTTATAAACTTTATGTGAATGTAAGTTTCAATAATCAAGTTTTAATTAACAAACAGCGATTTAAAAGCTTTATGTTGCCACTCTGCAAAGCGTAAGGTATTTGAGTTTAAAATTTAATCAAAAAAAAAAAAAAAAAAAAAAAAAAAAAACTCAGCGATATAAAAAAATGTGTGCTACCATTCGAGAAAGCGCAATTTATTTGTCTTTCGTATTTAATAAACAAACTCAGAAATTTAAAAGAAAAATGTTTCTAATGCCCAAATTAGTTCGTTCCGGGGTTCGAGTCCCGGCGAACGGGCTGGCTGCATGGGAGTTTTCGTGGTTTTCCCCATGTGTAACGTGGATACGAGCCAGTTTCCCTTAAAAAGACCTCCACGAGGCATCCCTTCCTTTCCGTGTAGTGCCTAAGGGCGGAGCACGTAATAAATTAAAAAAAAAAAAAAATGCCCAAATTAAAATACTTTTAAGTGGGCTACCGTTCAGCAAAGTGTAAGATGTTTAATGTTTCTTTCAAATTTATTTAGTTATTAAGGAATAAACTGAGCGATTTAAAAGCAATGAACGCAGCTTCATGTATATTATTATTAAATATTTTATCTAGACCACTGAAACTACTCTATATAAAGAAGACATTAAGTTTCTGGAAAACCACCCCAAAGAGTTCACACTCAAGGCGTTTACATTAGAACCTTGTAATACTCCCCTCCATGCAAGTTATTCACATTAGGTTCAAATCGCCTTTGTTACACTCCCGCTATCAGTCGAATACATGCTAAGTAAGAAATTTAAAATTTTGTTTTAAAAAATAAATAGATAAATAAATAAAATTTCTACACAGTTTTAATTTTGAAAACTCATCACTCATCTTAGCTTCATGTAACGTCTGTTGTATTCTCGCTATTAGTTCTTACTTTAGATGGTGCAGAAGTCGTTTACTCTTTAAAACAGTAAAGAAAGCTTTTAAAATAGAATTTAAATGCGATCTATATAAAAGTTTTTCGCAAATATTTCGAAAAAATTAGCCCCACCTCCTAAATCAAGTTTTTTCACTCTGCTTAAAGCCCGGGCAAAGCCGGCTGTTTGAGCTATCTACAAAATAAATATCATTAAAATATTTCTTGTAATAAAATTATCCAGTTAATAAGTGATAATCAGAAAGTGTTAATCAGAAACTCACATAATAATTCGGACACTCGAAAGTTCTGTTGAGATGTTTTGTCAGACGATGCTTCTTGTCATAACGTTTTTTTAGCTAAAATGAAAATACATCACAAGAATTATCGTCTGCGTTTGGAAATTTTTGGTTGCTTAGCAAAATATATTAATAAGACGTGAATATGACAAGACGCTACAGAATAACGACAAACTTTGTTAGAAAAATAACAGTTCATCTTTTGACAAAAATGTTCAAAATATCCAGAAAAATCCTTGGTGTAAAGTATTCAACTATGTGTAATTTTATTTATTATTTTTTAATTTTTTAACAAAAAAAGATAGAAATTGCAAGGAACTGTTGAAAATGCACTTAAGCCTGAACCACATTCCAAGCTAACCCGAAGGAACTGGAGTTTTAGCCTATGAAAAATAAAACAGAACCCACAAATTAGTCCTGTAAGACTTGGATGTGGAAGAAGGATTTGCAGCAGAAACTAACCGTAAAACTATTCGAAAAGTTATTACAGCATTTGGCTACAAAATGAGCCATCAGCAAAAGGAAAATCCTTCGTACAATATATATATATATATAGGTTTCAGATTTTAAATTACGTCAAAAGGGGCTTTTTTTACCATTTTGTGTATTACCATTATTTATCAAATATCATGTTCTATGCACTTAAAACATAAAATTTAGTTCAACAGCAATGTAGCAAAATAATTTTAAAATGAGCATATCTTTAGAACTCCCGATACGGCCCACCAGCGGCCGAGCGGTAAAGTCGCTGAGCACTGGTAGTTCGGTCCGAGGTTCGAATCCCGCGAACGGGCTGGCTGCATGGGCGTTTTCGTGGTTTTCCCCATGTGTAACGTGTATACGAGCCAGTTTCCCTTAGAAAGTCCTCCACGAAGGCATCCCTCCCCTTAGGCAGATAGCCCTCGAGGCTTTGCCATAATCACACACACACACACACAGAATTCCCGATACACACAGCTCCGCGCCCTGGAGATAGAAAGTTTTTTTCCACGTAGGGTGTTGCCATTGCTCACTTTTAAATCCTTGAGTTTGTTAATCAAAAATTTGTTAAAGTTTTACAAAATGTGAAAACGATAATAAAACAAATTCCAAATTTTGTGGCTTTCAGATGCCATATTCGCAGTAAGATTACGTCATTCAAAATTGGATGGCTCTAGGTACCGTTGTTTTATGACAATGCGAGAAGCATACATACATTTATGCAAATTCTTCATTATTTAATTTTTTTCAAATATAATACGGGGCGATAGTATTTGGTGGCAACGATTTGGAAAGTGATACGCCGTTTATAGGGTTCCGACGCAAAATTGCAAAACGAAAACAATAGTCCTTCAGGGACAATACCCCTTTGGACTAGAAAAAAAAGAAAACAAGAAAAATATGCTTGGCTTTTGCAGAATCTTTGGTAAGCAAAGATTTATCATATTGGAACAATGTTATATTTACAGTGTCAAAATTTAATACATTTGTGTTTGATGGATGAATTGCTATACAACGAAAACTGACTGAATAACTGATCCGGAAAAACTATTACCTACCATTAATCGCCAGGATAGAGGCATAATTGTTTGGTGATGTTTCGTTGCTTCCTGGTATTGAAAATTTATTTTTTATAGAAAATAATATGAAGTTGTATCAATATTCTTAAATGAAACATGAAAGCATCTGTAACAGTTGTAATCAAAGGAATCGTTTGGCGAAAAGTACGATCGCCAGTGTCACTGTTATTAGCATTCCTAACCTGGCGGTTCCTACTCAAGAATAAACAGCTCTAAAGTCCTACACCAGCTTACTACAATCGGACTACAGCATTAAAATAACTAAGAAACGTAAATTTACTTAAAAAAATGTTTTCAGAGTAAAGTGAATTTGAAATGTATAACAGGCGACTAAGGATTCATACTTTCAATTGTTCAAGCATCAGTGTAGTTATTATAGTTTGTTTATTTATTTTAGTTTTGTGTCTGTGTATTTGTGGTGATCTTCTCCGTAATCACAGAAGGCACTTTCTATCATCTGATTCATCAGGCTCCTATGAAGCAACCTGCCTGCAAGCCTAATTGTTGCAAAAGTATGCATTGCCCTCATCCGAAATGCCACTCGGGCCAGAAGATGAAACCCCACGCTGGGTGGTGTGGTTGCTGCCCAAAATGCATGACGCAGCTAAGTAAGTAGAACTCATTTCACGCTTGTCATCTGTTATTGTTAGAACTGATTCTGAACGGTATAGTAGCTGAGTTTATTAATCAAAATTTCATTAAGTTCGCATTGCGAGCGCCTCCTGTCCAATTAGTTTGCGCTTTCATAACAGTATGTATTAGTCCTTTCGCTTGAAATTCCATCATTTATATGATGTTCAATGTTTTCTTGTGCTTGATGGTTATCCTTTTAATTTTTCTTTCCTTCTTTTGTCTCGTAGAAGAAGGATCTCCATGCCAGCCGAAGCCAAAACATCCTTGTCCGAATATGCCTTCAGCAGAATGCGGTTGCGGATTAAAATGCATGCATGGAAAATGTTGTAAACACTGAAGGTAAGATTAAATTACAGTTAAATTGTTAAAATATTATTTGTTGCTTTCGAAAATATATTATTATTGGTAAATGACTGTTTTTTCTTCATTTTAATTAGCTCTCATAGATACTTATGTACTTATGCCGCAACCACCTTGTAGAAGTCGCCAAAATTTGCAGAATGCGCCAAACTTCAGCAACCATACAGCATAATAATTCGTTATTTTTAACAAGCAATATACCATTGTCATGTGTTTTCTGTTTGTTAGTTTTTATAGCTAAATCGTGGTACTTTATACCTCAAGCTTAATTTTTAAAATATACATTTGTTTCCTGCAGTGGAAGAAATTTCAGAAAAGTTTATGAAGAAGTAGTGCTGCCATAAAGTCGCTAAGCGGGAAAATAGTTATAAATCTATTCTGAAGGCGATAGTTACAAAATTTTCAACAGAACTTGAAAAAAAGAGGAGAAAATAAAATCTGTTGTTGATTTTAGTATTGGTATTCTACTTAGTTATTCTAATTCAATTCTTTTGAATTTCTTCTGTTCAATTTCTATGAATTGTACTACTGTATTATATTATTCTGTTCCATTCTATTTTATTTCTATCAGTTTCTATTGCAGTATATTATTTTGGCATATTCTATTCCGGTGGCATTCAAACTAGGGATCGCGATCCCATTTTGAGTCGCAAAAATTAATAGTGGGATGGCAAGATAGGTAAAAATTCTGAATTGAGAGTGTATAACTAACGATCGACTCTATGATTGGGGTCGCGAAGTCGTATTTGGCTTCGTTTATAGTTTTATGTGGTCTCACTGCCATAAAATTTGAATACCACTCTTCTATTCTATTTCTATAAAAAGAATTCTTTTATTTTATTTCTGTGGGTTTCTTTTTTTCCCATTCAATTCTAATTCAGCTCTTGAATTCAATCTAATTCAGTTTTTATATAAATTCTTATTTAATTCTTATGTAGATTCTAATTCATTTTTTCTACTAAACTCCCTCTATTCTATACGTATGAATTCCATCCCATTTCTGTGAGCTCTATTATATTCTCATGCATTTCTGTTCTATTATATTATTCTGTTATAGTCTATTCCATTCTATTTCTATAAATATAAATCTTTTATTTGTTTCTATAAGTGTATTCTGTGCTACTGAAACGAAATTCAATTAATTCAGTTCTTATATTGTTTTTAATTCAATTACATTAATTCTTAAATTTATTATTCCAATTATTGATTTACTTACTCCATTTACTGATTATTCTCTTTATTGATTTACTTATTCCATTTACTGATTATTCTATTTAATAATATTTGGAATAAATACCTAATTAAAAGTAATATTCATTGCAATTATAAGTCTTCTTATTGACTTCTTATAGAAGTCACCGCGAACGGAGCTGGCTGAATGGGCGTTTTCGTGGTTTTCTCCCTGTGTAATGTCTACACGAACTAGTTCCATTAAAAGTCCTCCATGAAGGCATCCCTTCCCTTAGGCAGATAGCTCTAGTATGCTTTGCCGTAATCTCAGTAAACCAAACCATAAGAAGTCGCCAATTACGCCTAGGTGGTTGCTGTAAGTCACCGATTCTCAACCGGTGATACGCAGCAGAAAAATAGATGGTACGCAAGGAAACAAAGTACTTTTAACTATTAAATTCAAAAATTAAATACCCCAACATCCTATTTTAAGTTTTTTCTCTAACGCTCGTAAATTCATGCGGTCTGAGGTTTGTTCAACGTCAATAGCCGCACATAAACTTTACCAAAATAATCCGATTTTATTTTCACAAATACTTTTTTAGCCACAAGCATCACAAAATGTGTCATAAATGATGCTTTTAGAAGGAATAATAGAAATTGATATTGCATATGACAGGAAATAAAAATAAGTTCCCATAAAAAGATAATATCTCATTAATTATTTTAGAGTTGATCGATTTATTAGCATGTCTACACTTTATGCCGCTACCATTTCTGGCTTATATTGCTTTATTTTCAATTAGAATAATATTTTACGCCGATTTGCTGTCTGTAACAGTCTGTATTTTGTCTTCTTGTTGCTTTGTATTCCTTACTTTTCTAAGCGATTTGAGAATACCGTCATCTGTTTTTGAAGAGCTCGTACTATATTGTGTATTTAGATATTTGTGAAAAAATAATAAAACAAACCTAGATTTTAAAAATGGAAAAATGGCTAAGATTGACTAAGCGGAAAAGTGACGATTCACAGGTGATGGATCTAGGACGATCTACTAGCACTAAGAATATTGAAAAGAAAAGAAAAATAGTTTCTAGAAAAGATAATGAATGATATATATGAAATGATATATCCAAATGATAAAAGTTATTTATCATTTGTATTTACTTGGAATGGAGATGAAATGGACCCTCAACCTAAATGTGTTGTTTGCGGTGAACTATTATCCAATCAAAATATGAAGCCTTCGTTTCTTAAAAGACATCTTGAATCTAAGCATTCCAATTTAAAGGATAAATCTAAAGAATATTTTAAGAGGAAACTGCCGGAGTTAAAAAAATAGTAGAGAATTAAAGAAAGGTTTTATTACTTTGGTTTTGAACTTCGATCAGAAATTCAAATTTTCCTCTGTGATTTAAAATTTGAATTGCAAAAATGTTTATTTAGTTAATTATGGTTTAGTTTTTAGCATATTTAGCTGATATTTTTTGGAAAGGTAAATGAGTTAAATTTAGTATTAAAAGGACTAAATATTAATTTGTTTACCATCAGAGGTAAAATAAATGCAATGATAAAAACCAAATAATTGAAAAATTGGAAAAAAAGTATTTTAAGCTTTCTACTTTTAAGAAAGTTTTCTGACAGAAAATAATTTCAAAATAAAAGAAGATTTAGCCCCCGACATTAAAAACCCTTGTTTATCATTGATAAATAATTTCAAAATGTATTTTCCCGAGGGATTATAAAAAAGAAAATGGGATTGGAAATCAGTTTTATTCAGATGTACCTGAAATTTTACCTTGTGCAGAGAAAGAATAATTGATTGAAATTTCTGTGATCGAACTCTAGCTGAAGATTTCAAAAATAACACACTTGTTAACTTTTGGCTGAACCGAAAAAAAAAAAAAAATTAAACGCATTTCAAATAAAGCTATTAAAAGTTTTACTGTCTTTTTGCTCAAACTATTTGTGTGAACAAGGATTTTCCTCCATGTTATATTGTAAAATAAATACAGAACAAAATTAAATGTGGATCATAATTTACAGTTAAAACTAAGTGAAATAAACCCAGACATAAAGAAATTGATCTCTCTTGAATAGGTCTAAATTTTAGAATTTTAAATTTTAAAATTGATAATTAAAATGGTAACTAATTTTTAATCTAATAATTTTTAGTGTGTGCATATTTAATACAAATAGCCAACATGTTGAGTTAATGGCAAAATATATATTTTTTAATATTTTTATTGAGAAACTGAAAAATAATCATTGTAAAATATAGTGGTGGTACTGAAATTTTTCAGTTTTTGTTTAGATGGTACGCGTTAGTCAAAAGGTCGAGAACCGCTGAAATAACAGATTTCATACTTTAAACGTAGCACGAATATAATTCTTATAAAAATATCGAATGATGGTTATTTAAAATAGGCAGGAGAGAGTTATTTAAAATAGGCAGGAGAGTTTATCAGTATGAATATTACCATGAGAAACTTATAGATTACTGATGAATTTTTGTTTTCAATAGAATATACTCTGTGGTTATAATTAAAGTTACCCTACTTAAACCTATATAGAGCACATTCTGGTAGGCCTATTTCGCTAAAACTTTATATATACTTTATACGGACTACGAGGAAAAGAAAACTGCAGTAAAAAATAATAATTCAAATTTCGACCACTATTGAGAAGGGAGCACATGAAAATTTAAAACTCAAATTGTAAAGGCAAAACTTTATTTAATCATACCATTTGTTCAATATGCATTCCATTTTCATATTCAAAGCTTGTTATAGGGTATTCAGCAGTAGGTTTCTCGATCATTTGCAGTAAATGATTACGTGTTATGCTTGCTTTCAATTCAGGTATAGTCTGTCTGTATGCTTCCATCCACGGACACGATCTTTAAAGAATCCTAGTAACAAAAAATCGCAGGAATCCAAGCCCGGACAACGAAAGCTCCCCAAGTCAAAAAATTCTGCCAGACAGTCGGCAAACTTCTTGAACTTACCCGATCATCTCTAAAACGGCACGAAGCAGTGCCTTCATTGGTCCGGCAATGTGAACTGTTGTACCATCTTGCATGAAGACAGTGGTTTCTAAACATTCTCGTTCCTGTAAGGTAGGAATGATTTGCTGAAGAAGTTCTTAGAAACGGGCACCCGTGAACACCTTTGAGGGCCTTGAGGAGTGTTGCCCTCAAAATTAGAGGGATCGAGAATGAGAGCAGCAGTAAATCTACACCATACAAAAATGTAATCAGGATACAGAGATCATTCATGTGCAACATTAGAATCTGCAATACTCCATATACGACTGTTTTTAATATAAGCTGCTCCGTCTGAAACTCATGCGACTAAAAAGTGTTCCAAGGTCATATATTGTCAACGGCTATTCTCGCCAAAAGAAGGCTAGCAAAATCAGTGCGTTTGTCCGGGTCTGCAAGATTCAACTCTCGCAGAACTTCTATAGTTCTTCTATGGATACCACTTTCAATGGATCTCAGAACGTTTTAACGAACTTTCTCAAATCATGTGACACCACTCGAGCATTTGTCGAAGAATGTTAACAACTTGACGCTCTTTCTACCATAGCAAGAGCGACTTCTTTGACAGTTTCATTTGCAATTCGTTTCTGTCCTCTGCCTCGCAGCAGACAGAACTCTACAGTCTCTTCATATTTAGCAGTGATCTTTTTCAAAGCCTGCCTCGCGTTTTGTAAAATTAACAATGCATATTTTTGCAGTGCAGTTGAAAAATTACTGTCATTCTGATAAAAAAACTTGATCAGTAAAGCTCAATCTGTCTTCTCTAAAGGCATGGTGAAAAATAAGTTTACGGCATTGAATACTTGCTTTTAAAAACACTCCAAATTTGATTACTGATCTTTCCATATTGCCTTATAAGGCTATCTGTCGGTCGACATTTGAACTAGTATTAAACTCTATTGAAGATTTATTTTCCCTGTAGTCCATATAACATATATATCAAGTTTCAACGAAATAGATAGACCAGAACGTGCTCTAGGCACTTGTAAATAAAGTACTTTAATTAAAGTACAGGTGGTTATAATAATCTATAGCAATATTATTCTAAGTCTCAATAATTTAAATTCTAACATTTACATGATTAATTCAAATTAATATCCTTTTCAGGTCAAAATTCTGCCAAACGATTAATGTTTTGAAACATAACAAATTCTTTCAGTACTGAATTGAAACCCAATGAATTTGAACAGGAAGGAATAACTCATTGTAATACATGTATCTCAGGAAATAGCTCTGCTGTTTCTTCATTGACAAATTTTTATTTTGTTTTACATTTTTAAATATTTTGTACTCAGAATTTTCTTTGAATAAAAATAATTTGTTAGTCGATCATGTTATAAGTTTTGTTGATGATTAAATTTACTCAGATGCCCAGTGATTTCATTTAGTTATGGCCCAATTTTCTATAAACTAGGTCGAATATATTACATAAATTAGAATTATATAAAGTTTTAAGTAGACATATTTTAGATAGACTTATACGAAATTTTAGATATTTATATACAGAAATTCTACAGAGATATGTATAGATAGTCTATAAAAATCTGTGCCAACATTCTAAAAAATATATGCAGTTTTCAAAGTTTCCACGTTTAGAATTTTAGGTAATATGTATAGCATCAACCAACAGAATTCTACTGAAATTATTAAATCCAGTTTATGGAAAATAGGGCCATAATTCTAAAGAAAAAAATAATAATTAAGTTTCGTTACGCTAGTGTTCTATAAAAGATCCTGATAGAAGTTTTTAGTATATAAGCACTATAAAATCAAATAAATTTTCTTTTGGGATTAAAAAGAATGAATTTTTGAATCTTGTCCAAATTCTGAAATTATCTTTGACGTGGAGCAATAAGGATCAAAAGATTTCCTTCCCTAGGGAAGAATAAACTCTAAAACCACAAGCTCATACATAACATTCATAATTTCCTCTACCACTTCTCAAAATGTCCATCATCGCAACAGTTTTGATTAGGATTCTGTCTAGTAGCTCGGTCAAAGAATTAGAACTCAGAGAACTCATTCACGTTTTTTGGTTCAATGGTCATGGTGTTTTGAGATATGCTTATTGCAGCTCGTTTTCCTAGAACTGGGTGTCACACCTGTTTCACATAACATTCGTTTAGTACATAGAGAAACATGCAGATAAAAGAAAATAACGTAAAGGTGTTTTTCCTTACGGATGGAATATGAATTCTTATATTTTAAAAGTTAGTAAATTTTTCGATGAAACTTGCAGAAATTCCGCAAAAATATGTAAAATAAAAAAAGTTTCATTGAAGACATTGTACAATTATTATTCAAAAATAATTCATTATATTTGATTTTCATACGCTGGGAGGTTTGTTATAGTGGTATATATATATATTAGATTTATATATAGCAATTGTTCTAACATAGGTATTTTGACACAACATCGGACTTTTTCTGAAATAATAGACCATTTTTTTTCCATATTTCGATTCAAAGACGCTAATTATGCCTAGATATCAAATTTAGCAATTCTTGGTAAGAAATTTATGGAGAAATTAAAAAATTTATCTTGACGAATTTTTTTCAATTTGTGCCAAGGATAAAGAAGTTCGTCACTTGGCGAACTTCTTAATTTATAGCAACCTATTTTTCTTTGCCTTTTTTCTTTGTGCAAGAGCCGGGAAAAAAGTCATCGTTCATAATTTCGAATAACTTTAACAAAGTGCGTACACAACATTTTCGTTATTATCGCTTATAATAAATACGCCAAATTTAAAAACGCGCTAAAATGTCCATTCACGTATATCTTAGGAAGTTTTGAATAAAAAACTCTAATTTTTTGCAGGTAATGCTTAGAAATACATCTACTTTAAGATGATTCAAGAATTTTATAGGTTAAAATTCAAAATAATTTTTGAAAAATTTCCAAAATTATTTAAAAAAATACAAATTTAAAAAATTAAATCATAAAAAATTGGGTGAATTTTATTTTGAATGAACCTGAATTTCGATCAAATAAGTTTAATAAAAAAGATATATTAATAAATATATATAAAATTCAATTAACATTAAGGAACTAAAATTTTGAGAGCTAATATTTTAAAAACTACTGGGACGATTTTTAAAAAACTTGGCAGTTTCCATAATTTGAGTCGTAGAATCGAAATATGGAAAAAAAAAGGAGATATGCCATTTCAGAAAAAGTCCAATTTTTTGTCAAAATATCTGTGTTAGAACAATGCTATATATAGATCTAATACATATCCTAAGTCACGCTTTCGAGACACGAAAAACGCAAGATGAATTTCGTCAATCGGCCCAATAGAATGAGAGATATAAGAACTGTTCCCCCCTTTTTTTTTCGCAATGTACATGTATACGTTCCGTGCAGCCGATTGCAATGAAAATGGGAGGTCCCAATTACATGTTATTGCATTCCCATCTACAAAATGTCAACGTTCTACGGCTACTCGTTTTTGAGTTATGGGAGATACATAAGTTGGTACAGATGTCACGTTAAAAATTTCTTCTGAATCCATTTTAGATCCATTTTAAAAACAGTTTTGGAAAAGATAATTCCTTTATTCTATCCATACGTACAAATGTCACGCAAAAACATCGTTCAAATGGATTCGAGAGTGGCCAAAATGGATATTTTGGTTGAAATATATCTGAAATTTTTCGCGATTACAATACTTCCTATACTTCGTACAAGGAAATGAAAACATTAAAAATACTTGTACATGAATGTTAACATTGTTATATAACTTTATAATCGTATATAGCTTTATAAAAAATCGTATATAACTTTATAAAAAACGGCAAAAGTATTTTAATGAAAATATTCTATTTCGCGGGAAAAGGTTGATGTAGCGAAAAATATTAATTTCATATTTCCTTTTCGGTTTTGGCATATTTTATACTCCTATTTCTTACAGTCTGTCAGTGGGCTTTTGGTTTTTTGTATACGATTTATTCCAAATTGAATATGTGATGAAATTTAAAAGCATTTTTTAGTTTTGTTTTCCATTATAACCACATCTTGTTGCTGCTGTCAGCTCGCAAATGAATTAGGTTTTTGAACTATTTCATTGAATTTATTCATTTATATATGTATATATATATGCATATCCATCCCCTTACCCTGCTTAAAATTCCTTTCTCGGCCTTTATTTTCGCAGTCATTGGTCGTAAACATACGCTTCCTATTGTAGAAGAGTTTTAAAAAACGAAAATAATCATGTTTGGCAATTTAAAAGTAAAAGAAAAATTCAAATTTTGGATAAATAACGAAATTTAACTTTTAATGCTCTTTCCGGTTCCTATATTCATATTTGGGGAAGTTTTATGCTCGTTATGAAAAAACAAATATATAAGAAGTTTAACACCTGTACAAGAATTAGTCTGAGAATTTGCAATTTTTTGTCATTTTCAACTTGGCTTGAGAGATCGGATATTTAAGTTAGAATAATTCGAGGAAATAAATTTTATGTTGTGCAGAAAAAAAAAAAAAAAAAAAAAAAGGGGGGAGTATAATTTAACTTCTTCGTCGCCCGTAACGCGTCTAGCGCGTTCAAGTGAAACTTCCGCAGGGCGGTCGTAACGCGCCCCAAGCGTTCTTCTACATTTTAAAACTTTTCAACGTTTAAAACGCTTTCTAAATGTTTACTTGTTTGAGTTTTTATTTTTGTTTGTTCTAATACCTCCTAGAGGGTAGCACTAATTAGGCATTCTATTTCTAATTGAATTTGCCCTGGGGTTTATGAATACTCGCGCCATTTTAAATAAGATACAAGACAGTCAGAGATGGCTTCATCGTCTACTCAGCAGAAAAAGAGAAAAAATGAGGTTGTGAATTGGAAAGACAAGAAGGATATACGTTTGATGAGTACAGTCCATAATAACTCGATGATTGATATTGGAACACGGAAAAGAACTGTAAAAAACCCAATAATTGTAAAAGATTACAACAACAAAATGGGAGGAGTGGACCGACTGGATCAGATGTTATCAAATTATACTGCTGTTAGAAATAAGCAGAGATATTATTTTTCCGTTATGCTTTATTTACTTATAATTTTACTTAATATTCATCGACATTCATCCACTACGAAAGTCATGTATGGAAAATTATGATGTACAGAGAAAACAACATTACACGCTACGAAAAACAGACGGCCGCTGGGAAAAAATTTTCGCGGACAGGAGAGGACGGCGAAAGGGTTAAAGGGCGTGCAAACATGTCATGTGATGTCCCCGGCGGATTTTCAGATTTTGAAAACTTATAAATCACTCGTATGAAAATTATTTTGTCATACCAAATATAACAAAATTATAAATTATAGACTCTAAAAATATCCTGAGGGGGGGGGGAAGAAATGAATGGCATTTAAGGAGGGAAGATCAACCTCGAATTTATTTACTAATCGACGCCTCATTGCAAATTAAATAAGAGGACAAAAATCGCAGGTGTTAAGCATGTCGGTCAATTTTTGTAGTACAAAAGTCAAACTTTTCCCATTTTATTTTTTATAACAAGGAGAAAAGTTTTCTAACTACTGTAAAAATAGGAATCGAAGGAACGCATAAAATGTTAGCTATCGTAATTAAAAAAATATGTCTTTAAATTTAAAAATGCCCAAACATGAATCTTTAATTTCTTTAAAAAAGTTTTTGTAACTGGAAGTTTATATCTACGGATAGCGGTTGCGAAAGTAAAGGCCGCGTAAGGACTTTTGTGGATACGGTTTACATTTCATAACTGGAAATCATATTAAAACTTTAAAAGTATGAAAAAGAAGATAATCTAAATTCAGTCAACCAATATTTTTATTCATCATTTGTACATTTCATAAAGAAGATAAAATTGAATGCAACATTTTGAGAAAAATGTCACACATACCATCCATTAAATAATGTACATAACTCGGGTAACTGAGCACCAGCAGGGCAGGAACACGATGCAAAAATTCCAGAAAGTAGGCAATTCTCTAAAAAGCAGAATATAAACAAAATAGATAAGTCTTTGAAAAACACATTCAAAAGAATTATCGCCACCTGCTAAAGAAAATTACTAAAAAAAAAAAAAAAAAAAAAAAAAAAAAAAAAAAAAAAAAAAAAACGAAAGGTTTCATATTTTAACGGTCGTCCAAAAGTCTTAAGCAGCGTTAAGTGTTGGCATACATTTTTTTTTCAGTCTTTTCTCAGTTCATCATATCAATGTTCAGTTTTCTTACAAAGATAGCCTTATAAAACGTATTTTCCTTTTTTTATTATTACTGCTTCGTGTGCTTATTTTATCTATTAAATACAACGTTCTTGGCGCTTAAGCCACATTCAATTCGATTTAACAGCAAAATCACAAAATGTTTAAAAACAGCATATGGTTAGGATTTCCGATAGAAAGTCTTGCGCGCTGGAGATAAAAATTTTCTATTCCGTTCTCCAGATCTTGCTATGACATTTGGCTATTTCCTAATCTAAAACAAAATTTATGTCGCCATCGTGTTCATTCTGAAGATTAGACTGATAAGGCTGCAAAAACATATTTTTCATTGATTTAAAAAATGGAACGTTTGAACATTTAATCTTTGGAAGTTTCGCCTACAAAAGTGCTGGAGGAGACTACACTGAACACACCTGAGTTTGGAAAGTTTAACTTGTAAAAATTGTACCATGAAGCTATATCTCAAAAATTTCAGAGAGGCATTCGCAAAAATGAAGAACTCGCTTTAGTATGCAATGAGTTAAAAATTATTCTAGATAGCTTGTACAGCAGACGCCACTTAATGTGATTACAGTTATGCAATCAATTTGAATATCATTATCGCACTGCCGAAGTTGTATCCGTCTGTATACGGAAACACATCAATTACTGTGGTCAACATTTCAATTGATTTTGTTATGTGCATAAGGGTTAGTAATGGACCAAATGTACTGATATAGCGCGATGAAATTTATTTTCGCAAAAGAAATAATTTAGAGTTCCGGAGATTTTCACGCAAAAGTCATTGTACAGCTCTCAGCTATGACTGTTAAACAAGACAATATAAAAAGTTTCAAATGAGTAAGTTCGCAGAGTGATCTTTTAGAATAGTCTCGATACTCTGAGTTCAACCAAACTGATGCTCTGTCCGGTCTTATATAGTTTTCTCCTGTCGCCGAGAAATTTCGACTAACTTTAATTTTTTGAAATTGCTGGAAGACATACACAGTGACAGTTATGACAGGCTTACGCATACGAACTATGATGTCATTCAGCTTGTTTAGGACTGTGAAAGGACCGTCCCGCGATGATTGTAGTTTAGAAGAAAGTAATATACGTCAGCTCTTATTCCATAACCATACTTTGTCACCTTTGTTGAATCGACATCCTGTAGCTCTTGTATCGTAACGTGTCTTCTTCCGTTTCCGTAGACAAACTAACTCGCTCTCGTGAAAATTGTGCAGCAGTTCAACTCGGGCCTGGAGATCTTGAATATACTCATCAGGTGATGAAGGTGCATCTGGATAGCGACCAAGCAAGAGACAAGGCAGACGAAGGTAACGACGGAAGAGCATCTGGGGAATAACCGGTAGTCTCGCGGACGGCACTGCGATACACTAGTAAGAGTAGGAGAAACTTGTAGTCCCACTTCTGCTGTTTTCTGGAAACCATCAGCGAGAGATCATTAAGAATGGTTCTGTTAAACCTCTCTACCATGCCGTCTCATTATGGATGTAAAGGTGTCGTTTCGGCTTTGTGTATGCCGATTAGTTTGCAGTGTTCTTTAAATACAGCCAAGATAAATTTCCTTCCTTGATCGGAATGCAGCTGAAGAGGCACTCCAAACCTGGAAATCCAGTGTCGTTTCGGCTTTGTGTATGCCGATTAGTTTGCAGTGTTCTTTAAATACAGCCAAGATAAATTACCTTCCTTGATCGGAATGCAGCTGAAGAGGCACTCCAAACCTGGAAATCCAGTGTCGTTTCGGCTTTGTGTATGCCGATTAGTTTGCAGTGTTCTTTAAATATAGCCAAGATAAATTTCCTTCCTTGATCGGAATGCAGTTGAAGAGGCACTCCAAACCTGGAAATCCAGTGCTGCATCATTACCTCTGCTACAGAGAAGACTCTTGATCAGGGATAGAATACCCTTCAGACCACATGGTAAAGTAATTAACGACAACGGGGAAAAATTTATTGCCATCAGCAGTTCAAGAAAAAGGTTCCAGGATGTCAAAGGCGAAGCATTCAAATGGTACTACTACATTATTAACATTGCAACTTCCCTCCGCTGTGTTTTTTTTGTCTTTTGCAATCTATAAAGGTATGCACAACCGACACCAGTTTTGCACGTCAGCCTTGCTTTATTCCAGTAAAATCGCTCTGGAACTCTATGCAGAGGCTTCAGTATTCCGAAGTGGCGTTCAGTCGGACTGCCATATAGTTTGTATGGATTATGTTAATTTTATTAACAGTTAAATTTTAAGTTCTTTTCATCTCAAATTCTTAACTTCAACTTACTACTTCCGGCCAGAACGTAGTTTTGGAATCTTGCTGAATATTTAATGAGGAGGAGCGGTATTTAAACTACGAAGTTACTTACAGAGGCAGAGAGAATCAGAGTTTCTGATTTACGCGCGTCTGCCTTTTTTTGGCCACTCTCTCTCTCTCAAAGCTGTTATTACGCTCGGCCGTAGTCAGGCCCTTGCTAAGCTTCGTAGTCAAATAAGTTAAGGTGCAAACTCGATTTGAATCTTGATAGCTTCGGCTATATTTCTTTAGCTAATCTTTAGTTTAATTCTTAGTCTCTTAAGTTCAAGCCCAAGTGAGGGTTTGTTTGTACACTTCCAGGCGGAGTCTTGTTAAATCTTATTGGAATAATAAAGAGTTAGTTACCTTTCTATCTTGTTCTTTCTTGTCACCCGAACTTGAGCGATTATTCGCTTATCAGTTCTTAAGACTCTTCACTTCCAAAATTAACTTAGAATTACAAAGTGAAGAACTGTACAAGTTGTTTATGCACGTTCGGCATCCTAGATCTTGGCTGTATCAGCTGCCATTGGAATGCCTTTCCATCATCCAATTCGAACTTCCGATACAAATGTGGAGTGAGTCCCAAAGAACAAAATGTCGTTCTGTCGTAGGATTGCAGATAGAAATATCCTGCCAGGAAAATTTTCTATTGGAAAACTGCATTAAGACAGGTAGGGGGCAATTTTAAATTTGTAACTTGATTGTACGATCGGATTAACCAGCTCGTATTTTGCTTCGACCTTGGAATAAATACTGCCAGCTTTCCGGGAAGTGTCTTCTAAACAGGGCGTCTGCTTTTCTGGTACCGATACTTTCCGATGAGAGATAGTGATGTCGAATTTCTGAAGTCTCTGTATCCATCTATATATCTGGCCTTCGGAATTGTTGAAATTTAACAGCCAGGTCAACGACACATGGTCTTTGCGGACCAGGAATTTTCTGTAGCAGAAGTAGTGGTGGAAAAGTTCTCCGTCTTTAACTATGGCCAGCTTCTCTTTTCAGGTGACACAGTAATTCCTCTCGGACTTAAATAGACACTTCCTCCCATACGTGACGACATGTTCTTGAGCGTTATGTCTTACGAAAAACCAGCACCAACACTTTCATTGCTCGCATACGTATCAAGAATAAATGATTTATCGAGATGAGTATACGAAGGGATTGTAGCAAATGGTTAAAGCTTCCTTTAGCTTGTTAAATGTGTTCTCACATTCTTTTGTCCGCAAGAACATTTGTTTTTTCTCTGTCACTATGTGAAGATGTCTGCATACACACACTTCGTACACATATCTTCCCAGCTGATGGACACTATCGAGTCGTGTCCAGTCTTTAATCGCCGATCTTTTTTCTGAATCAGTATGCAGACTTTCGGAAGAGATGACATGTCCGAGATAGCACTGCATGTCGGAACAGTTTACATTTGGCAGGGTTCTATCAATTTCTGAAACATTTTCTAAATTCTTTTAAACTTTTGTTGACTATGATGATGTTATTCAGATATATTAGAAATGCTTGATGGGAAAGACTTCTCAGCACTGTCTCCATCAAGCGCTCGAATGCTGACGGCGCATTACATAATCTAAACGACATAACCTTAAAATACCAAAGTCCTTGACCGGTAGTAAATGTCATCTTTTCTTGGTCATTAGTGTTTATTTCTACCTTCCAATATTCACTCTACAGTCGGTGTGCAAAAGTTTAAGACCATAGATGGAAAAATCAGGTTTATTAGAATTCAGCAACAAAACACATGTTATAAATGAAAAAATAGACTTAGAATGCTATTGAAGTATAGTCAGTATTTTATCGACCTCCATTATTTTTTATCACTGTTGCAATCATTTTAGGCATGCTATGAACAAAAGACTGGCCATACATTTGAGAAATCTCTGTACACTACTAATGCTTTATTGCTCCAACAAGTTCTGTAGCGCTGGATTTGGTAGCTTCTCGTTGACTTTATTTTTCACAATACACCACAGATTCTCTATAGGATTCAACCTGGCCAATCAAGCACTTGGATTTGAATTGCCCTTAGATAGTCGTCAATCCTTGCCATGTGATACGGAGCTCAATCATGCATGAAAATTGACCATCTGTGAACATCCAAGTGAAGCTTCAACTTGCCACGTAACAAATTAAAGGTGCCGACTGCCGTTCCTTCTGGTTTTAGGTAGCAGGAAATATATAGCAGTAGTACCAGATGTAGACATTGCATCCCATATCATCTGGCATGGAGGGTGTTTCACTGTTGGAATTATATATCTGTCATCATATCTTTTTCCAAATGGGCTACGAATACGTTTAGCATGTGCAAAAAATTGCTGCACACTTGACTCATTGGCAAATAACATTGTACTCTGCTGTTGTTCGGTCCAATTCTGATATTGTCTGGCGAAAGTCAGTTGTTCCTTTTTCGTGATTTGAGTAAGTTGAGGTTTCCTTGCAGCTTTAAAGGAAAATAAACCGTAAT